TCAAAACTCAATTTGAGAAATCAAAGCCCAAGGGTGTTTAATTCAAACCCAATTTCAAACCATTTTTCAAGAACAATCCTCAAACATGACATGCATGATCTTTAAATAACTTTCAAGCTTCAAAACATGCTCTAATGAGCCAATTGATTCACAAACAAGATGAAAACATGGCCTACACTCAAAACATGGTCATGCATGTTACAATTTGCCATGAACTCAACTCAAAATCCAACAATTCAAACATGCATGCATGGATTATGCTCTATATCAACATGTATGAACTAAAACATGACTTAGCTCTACAATTTAACATGGACCATGCAAGAATTAGTTCAAACACAAGAATGAGAAGATGAGTTCCTTACCTAGAGCTTTAGTTACAAGGTGAGGAAGCTTAATTTGCAACCTATGTTCCAATTCCTTCAATTACCAAGCAATTTACAAGAAAAATTGAGATGAAAACCACTCCTCTAGTTTCTCTCTCTCTATGGTCGGCAATGACAAGGAGAAAGGCTGATGAATTGTTTTGGTTAAGTGTAATGAGCTTAAAGATGTATAGGTAGTGGCCACTCACCATGGCAAAATGGTAAATAAATGCAACCTTGCATTAAGTCAATATTTAATCTAATTTAATCATACTAAATCAAATTTCAGATAAATACACCATAAAATCACATTAATTATGATGATCGTAAAACATCAATCAATTCCCGGTTCAGCCGCCGATAAGGCCTTCAATTAGCAGTTTAAACACTAAAACACGAACAGATCAAATAATCAATCAAACAGATAGATGCGCAATTAAACAGATAGACTCAGTCAATTCAGTTCCAGTTTTCAGTCAGTCAGTTCAGTACTTTAATCAGTTCAATTATCAGTCATAATCAGTTCAGTTTGACGGTAATCAATGTTTATCGGTAAGCAGTGATGAGGGTTATTACAGTTTCCCTTCCTTATAAGGAGTTTAGTTCTCTAAACTCGAGTTACCTTCATTCTGGAAGAAAACAGGATTCAGTGGAAACAGTTCAGGATATCTTTTAGCCATGTCATCTTCCCTTTCCCAAATGGCGTACACACCACCATGGTTTTGCCAGTCAACTTTCACTAGCGGGATCTCCTTGTTTCTCAGTTTCTTGATCCGTCTGTTTACAATCTGTATAGGCCGTTCCTCGTAAGTGTAGTCATCACTCAACACTACCCGAGTAGGCTCAATTACATGGAAGGGATCCCGGAGATAATCTCTTAACATCGAAATGTGGAAAACATTATGCATGTGCTCCATTTCAGGAGGGAGCGCAACTTGATACGCCACCGGATTAATGGCGAACCATGTTTATGACCATGGAACCGGAAATGAGGTACCTTTGGATCCTCAGTTTGTGAGAAGCTTGGTCATTCCACTGTTCGGTTTGAAGTGAAGGAAATGAAGATGCTCGCAGAATTGTTTGGTGTATTTTTCTTTTTTTTGGCACTTGTTAAACCTAAATTTTATTTGTTTTAATTTTTTTTTTTCCTTTCGGTTTGGACTATGTTTGGTGTTGAGCTAACTTGATATATCATGCTGTCTATGTGGTTTCGCTTTAGACTTGGCACTATGTTGTCGTTATATATTTTCTCCATGCTTTCTTTGTTGCAATGTCCTCATTAAATTTTTAGTGCTATACTCATGTCATTATTGATGATACCTTGATTGTTTTACACTTTCCGTTTTAGATGTCGTCGTCACGACCCAATGGAGGGCAACCGAACAATATGTATGACCCGTACAGTGTCGATGACGATGATGTGATGGACTTATACATGGTTTGTCAACTAAGACGTGACATTCCTACGAGACAACCGCAACGTAATTGTCCATACACCGGTGAGCAGTACATAAAATTCTTACTGAGTGGAAATCCTAAATCAATCCGTGAACAATTGCGAATGGAAGTCCCGACATTTGTGGAATTCGTTAAACAGATTGTCCGTAGAAATGTTGTAGACTGGTCGAACATGCGATTGTCACTAGAAGAGTCATTGGCTATGTTTTTATTTATCTGTGGCCAAAGTTCAGGAACAAGTAATGCTGGAGATCGATTTCAGCACTCAAATGAGACAATTCATCGTCATTTTGTACTTATGATGCGGGCATTGGGAAATCTTGCGCCATTTGTAATCCAACCACCGAACATGGCTGTTACCCATCCTAAAATTCGGAATGACAGACGGTACTGGCCATGGTTTAAGGTAACAAAAATTGCAGTTCATTTGTATTATTTTATATGGCTTATTGAGACACAAAATTTGATAAATTAATTCAAAGTTATGTCATCTAGGACTGTGTAGGGACCATAGATGGCACACATATTGTTGTTGTGGCACCAGAAGGTGACCGAATGCCATATCGAGGTAGAAAAGTGCATACAACTCAAAATGTCATGGCTACATGTTCATTTGACATGAAGTTTACGTTTGTATACATTGGTTGGGAAGGTAGTGCACATGATTCGAGAATTTTTCTAGAAGCACTTACCACAAATTCTGCTGACTTTCCACACCCACCACCTAGTAAGTGTATTTGTTTTTAATTTAGAGTTTTCCTTTTTTTCACACCCAAATATGCGATGACATGTTCTTACTGAAAGAGTTTCACTGTAGACAAGTATTATCTCGTTGACGCCGGGTATACACACATGCCCAGGTACGTAGCCCCATATCGTGGCCAAAAATACCATTTGCAGGAGTTTAATAGGCGGCGTCGCTATCATGTGGTGCTGAAATCAAATTCACTGCGGTGCTGTTCTGAATTTGTGTGTTCAGTATCTGGGTGATGTTTTGTCTCCATGTGTTGAACTCTGTGTTGCTGTCTTGCTGGCAAATTAGTGAGAAACAGTGGACTGATTGCTGGAGGATATGCTTCCCTTTCAAATGGTTGCCAATTGGAAATTACATATAAAAGAAAATTACAGATAAAAGAAACAGTGGATAGTTCTTCGAGAAAATTCTGCTCATGCAGACAAGTACTTAAAATAATGGTTTTATCTCCCTTCTTTGCCTATTTTTTGGACTTTTTGATAGATTAATTTTTTAGATTTTAACTAGATTCTTTATCTGGAAGTTGTGACACTAGTGGAAAAGCACTTTTAATGCAATCAACAATCTGTTGGTCATTGTGTTTGTTTGTTGAGCCTTGAAGAACTGTATAATTGTTTACCATTTATTTTTGTTTTCTTATAGCACCATTTCGGCAGTCATCTAATAGCCCATTTGGGTCCCCATCAGTTTCTGGGCAGAAAAGAACTGTATAATTGTTTACCATTTATTTTTGTTTTCTTAAAGCAGCATTTCGGCAGTCATCTAATAGCCCATTTAGGTCCCCATCAGTTTTCGGGCAGAACGACATTGGCAGTAATAATCAATTCCTAAACCATGTGGGAGTACAACCTCTTTTGGTTCCCCTACAGGAGGATCAATGTTTTATGGAGCATCAACCAGCCTTCAGTGCACCTATCAACTCACATAATTGTGTTGCAGCTTTTGGATTTGGGACGGGTGGTGATGCATTTGGTGCTGGGGCTCCAAACATATTGGAACCAACATGAACATCTGTTTTTGGTGTATCAAAAGATTCTTCATTTGGAGCTTCAAGGAGGCCCACCTTTGGTACATCAAGCACCACAGGATTTGGTTTTGGTACCACTCTAACATTTGGGCAATCAACTTCAGCTTCTGGTAGCAGCAGCTCTTTTGGAACTACTCTGTCTTCTTTTGGGGATTAGAATTCCTTCTTAGGTGGGTATTTAAAATAGTTATTGCTGGTTTGCTACCAATATGAATCATTATTATTTTCTCAATCTATTTTGCAGGATCCCAGTCCACGACACCAACATTTGGAACTACAGGCTTTGGACAGTCAGTTTTTTGTAATTAACATGGACGAAGTAGAGTAGCAGTTTACACTGCTACTGCTGAAGTAGATGACGGAAGTAGTCCTGCTAAACTGGAGTCCATTGCTGCCATGACCATTAACAAAGACAAAAGCCATGAAGAATTGAGGTGGGAGAGCGTTTGGAAATTACTAGTGTTGGTGATCCATCTGGAAGGGGACGAGGTTTTAGCTATGTTCGCACTGCTTGAAGGCTCCAATATCAAATCCAATGGTGAAGAAAAAGCAAGCTGTTAGTCGGGGAGGTTCAACTGTAACTGGAACAGATGCTGAATCTGTGTGTTCTGAATCTGTTCTAAATCTCTGTGTTCTGTATTTTAAATTTAGATGCTGAATGGTGAATCTGTATTTTAAATTTAGATGCTGTAACTGGAACAGATGCTGAATCTGTGTGTTCTGAATCTGCAAGTGGAACAGATGCTGAATGGTGAAGAAAAACCAAAGGCCTTAATATTTTATATGTTCTGAATCTGTGTGTTCTGTATTTTAAATTTAGAGCAACATGTAGTCTAATGTGCTGCTTTCTTTTTTCTGGTCATGGATTGATTGCTGTGGCTGCTTACTATTGGAGGCTTCCTTCAGGTTGGAGACTTCCTTCACGATGATCTGTGTGACAGGTAGAACAAAATGTGTAAAATCTGTAAAATGTGTAAAATCTGCCAAAATGTGTGACAGGTAGAACTATTTTTTGCGACTAAATCCATTTTAGTCGCCAATTATACAACTTTCAGCGATGAAAAATGAATTTTTAGTCGCCAAAAACGCTTTTTCTTGTAGTGTGTTTACACAATTTCTGATCAGACTTTGTAAAACTTCTACCTCATGCATAATATGTTGTGCTGTTTTGTTTCTCTCTAAAAATTAAAAAAAAAACATGTTTACACACTATTTTTTTTTTTAATTGGGGGTGTTTGTATTTTTTGTTTCTGAAAAAACCAAACAATCGGATTTTTGAGAATTTTTTTTGAAAAGTGCATCCTGGAAAAAGACAACCAAACACATTTCTGAGAACTTTTTTAGGAAGATCTGTTTGGTTTAATTACTCTCAGAAATGTGTTTTCAGAGAATATTTCAGAAAATTATTTCTGAAACACAAACCAAACAAGGCCACATTATCTATCAGAAACGTCGGCCTCACTGGTTACATACCATCTTCAATCTTTTAGAGCTCTTCTTTAAAAGTGCTTCACATGGGAGGAAATAATATATTTGTTACTCAGCCACTGGGTACGTGCTACAAAAGCTGCTATGCTGCTTTTGTTTCATTTTCTATAAAGTCTATTTTTTTTAACCAAAAAAATGATTTATTTTTTCCTTCAATTTTTTTTTGTTTGACATGTTTCTCTAAATTTTTATTTTATTTTATTTTTTGTTATAGTACTAGTAACATGTATGGCGTTCTCATAGTTCTCTTGTTGCATTTACTGCATTGTCTAATGTATAGTAAGTTAGTAACATAAAAAATGTAATGGTGGTGACACCAACCAAGATGCATGTTGTCCAACCTGACGTCAGAGTGCTCTTGGTTCTTCAATTAGATCATGTTCTTGCTGGTGAGCGCTTCGGCTTGGCAGTCTGGTTAGCTTCTTGCTTGGTTGCCCTATTGGTATAGAGTCTATTCACCTTAATGAAAGACATGTAATAACTTTCAAAGTACCAGAAGGGGCAGGAGGCCTTGGGTGCATGGAAGCACAATTTGACAATATTAATACAAAACAATATATATAAATATAATTATTTTAATTCAATATAATTTATGTAAAAAATAAATTATTTATTAAAAAAAAATTTAGGCCACTTTTGGCGACTAAATCCATTATTTAGTCGCCAATTCTATGATTTTTGGGCTACTAATTATTTTTTTGTCGGTAAAAAAACAAGTTGAAATTAAAAATAGTAGTTTTGGCGACTAAATCTGTTTTTAGTCGCCAAAAACGTGTCCTTTTGGCTACTAAACTGAATTTTAGTCGCCAATTCACCGTTTTTAGCTACTAATTTTTTTTTTGTAGCCAAAAACCTTCATTTTCAGCGACTAATCTTTTTTTAGTCGGAAAAACACCTATTATCGGCAACTAAAATGTTTTTTAGTCTCCAAAACCATCACTTTTGGCTACTAAATTATTTTAGTCGCCAAAAATCGTCACTTTTGGCTACCAAAAAACCTTTAGTCGCTAAAACCCCTACATTCTGCGACTAAACTGCCTTTTAGTCGCTAAAAGCCTGGTATTCGGCGACTAAACTATTTTAGTCGGCAAAAGGGTTCAATTTTGGCGACTAAATCCATTTTAGTCGCCAATTATACAACTTTCAGCGATGAAAAATGAATTTTTAATCGCCAAAAACGCTTTTTCTTGTAGTGTGTTTACACAATTTCTGATCAGACTTTGTAAAACTTCTACCTCATGCATAATATGTTGTGCTGTTTTGTTTCTCTCTCTAAAAAAAAAAAAAAAAACATGTTTACACACTATTTTTTTTTTAATTAGGGTTTGTTTCTGAAAAAACCAAACAATCGGATTTTTGAGAATTTTTTTTGAAAAGTGCATCCTGGAAAAAGACAACCAAACACATTTCTGAGAACTTTTTTAGGAAGATCTGTTTGGTTTAATTACTCTCAGAAATGTGTTTTCAGAGAATATTTCAGAAAATTATTTCTGAAACACAAACCAAACAAGGCCACATTATCTATCAGAAACGTCGGCCTCACTGGTTACATACCATCTTCAATCTTTTAGAGCTCTTCTTTAAAAGTGCTTCACATGGGAGGAAATAATATATTTGTTACTCAGCCACTGGGTACGTGCTACAAAAGCTGCTATGCTGCTTTTGTTTCATTTTCTATAAAGTCTATTTTTTTTAACCAAAAAAATGATTTATTTTTTCCTTCAATTTTTTTTTGTTTGACATGTTTCTCTAAATTTTTATTTTATTTTATTTTTTGTTATAGTACTAGTAACATGTATGGCGTTCTCATAGTTCTCTTGTTGCATTTACTGCATTGTCTAATGTATAGTAAGTTAGTAACATAAAAAATGTAATGGTGGTGACACCAACCAAGATGCATGTTGTCTAACCTGACGTCAGAGTGCTCTTGGTTCTTCAATTAGATCATGTTCTTGCTGGTGAGCGCTTCGGCTTGGCAGTCTGGTTAGCTTCTTGCATGGTTGCCCTATTGGTATAGAGTCTATTCACCTTAATGAAAGACATGCAATAACTTTCAAAGTACCAGAAGGGGCAGGAGGCCTTGGGTGCATGGGAGCACAATAAGAAAGAAAAAGCATATCGTAGCTGTTCGAGAAAGACATTACAAAGTCCAATTTCAGTATCAGGGTCATATAGTTAATAAAATCAAGAAACAAACCCCGAGATTGTTAGCAGACTGAGGCCTCGTTTGGGGACTTACTTTTTTAGTCAATTAGCCAAAAAGTTACTAAATTGGCCAAAAAGCCAACAACTCATACCAAAAAGTCAAAGATTCTCTTTTCTCTCTACTTTTTGCACATCTTTTCGTAATTAGCCAAAAAGTCATCCCAAACATACAAGTTTTTTTTACCTACCTTTTTAGCCAAATAACCAAAAAGTTACTAAATTAGCCTGTTCCCAAACGAGGCCTAAACAACTTGTCTTTGTCTTCATCCATTCAATAAAATTGTTAAAGTTATTGTGAGAGCATCCACCTTCTTTGGCACTTTTTGAAACCACTTCCTTCAGATCCAAAGCCCTTGCTTTAAATGTCTTGTCGTTGAGCAGTTGCTCGACCTTGTTCTTAATTTCTCCTTGTTTGACGATCCCATTTTCGTCACAGTTAAACCCCAATTCAACTTTCCAAATATCACAAATGTAACTTTGGTTAAAAAATTGGTCAGCAAAGTATGGCCAGCATAGGAAAGGGATTCCATTGCTTAGGCCTTCCATGGTAGAGTTCCAGCCACAATGGCTTAAAAAGCAAGCAACAGAAGGATGTCCCAGGACCTTCTGCTGAGGTGCCCAACCTACTATTCGCCCACGAGTTGCTGCTCTTTTTATGAACCCTTTTGGGTAAGCATCGTTGTTGTCGTCAGTTAAATCTGGCCACACAACCCATAAGAATGGTTTGTTGGTGAGTTCAAGCCCCAAAGCAAATTCTTGGAATTGGATCTGGTCAAAAACTGTGAAGCTCCCAAATGCAACAAAGATGACTGAGTTGGCTGGCTGTTGATCAAGCCATTCCAAGCAAGTTGAGTCTTTTGGCCAGAAGTAGCCTGCTGAATTTCCAAGTCGATTGCTTGCCAAAAGTGGACCTACAGGCATGATATTTGGAAATAAGGTAAATACTACAGGCTCTAGCTCATAAGTTGAATTGCAAATCAACCAGTCTGCAACTGCCACAGACTTGTTATTTTTTACAATAACTTCAAAAAACGTTTTCTTTGTGGCCAAGTCCCCAATGCATGCCCACACAAAGTGTGTTGTGCTAATGGCTGGCATGGTTGGTGATAGTTTTATCATCTGATTCTTTGTTGGTGTTCCTGCAAAAGGATAACAATAATAAATAATTAACTTTATAAAAATAAAGTATCATTGGCAATAACAGTAGAAAAAATTGATAACCAAATTGGTTACCTTGCAGCATGATGCAGACCATTTCTTATTGAAAATGGATAATTGTTTATGGATGCAGAACGAATGCTAACAATTTTATCATAGTAAGATCTAAAATTTTTTATGTTTGAAAGTTTGTTTTCCCCAATAATCAAACCTTGCAAGGCTTAGGCTATAGTGTTTGTGCATCACTTTTGCGGTTACCCTGATAGATGCACAGTGATAAATTTTCCAGATTTTATTTTTATTGTTACTGTTTTGTTGTTGTCATCCTTTAATAACAGCAAAAATTTTCTGTAGTTATCATGTTTTGGATGCTTGATTCATGAATTACTTGTCAAATTCCAGCCTTCTATAGTGGCAAAATATGCTTTGTTTTCTATTTTGTAGTCTTTTATTTCTTTAATGTCATGAGTTGCTTCTTTCGTTCTCATGTTCCTTGCCAAGCTTATTCACCATGATAATCTTCTAAAATTTTTCTTCAGTCACCCAGCATAATAAATTATCGAGCCCCTATGTTGTGTTATATTCATACAGGTAATCGTAACTAATTGTTAAATTTGTCTCTGTTTTAGTATGGTACGCTGTATCAGAAAGAAGAATCAAGAATTAGTATATGAGTTCTTACCATTATTTTTTATTATCCCATCATCAAGCAGCTCCAGGATCCTGAATCCCAAAGCCAAGAGTGCAGCTGCCGTAGACCAAACGGCAGCTCGCTTGATTTGCATCTTCTCTGCAACTTCAAGGGCCCATCCCAAGAGCTCATCTGCAACAATGCAAGTAATCTTGTCTTTGTCTGATCCATTAATATTTTCTATGAGCTCTTCCAGCTTCCCTGGCATGACGTGGAAAATTGATTCTGTTAACTTCCCAACTTCATTTCTATCCTCCCAGGGTTCCAACCCATCT